GGCGGTTCCACCCACAGCATCCTATTATGTTAAAATCAACTGGTGGCAGTGAGTGAATTAATGAGCACCATTAGAAATAGTCCTGGTGCTGCCATGGGTTAGGCATTGGGCTGCTAACTACAAGGTTGGCAGTTCAAACCCACCAGTCACTCTGTGGGAGAAAGATGAGGCTGTCTTTTCCTGTAAAGGTTCACAGTCTCAAAACCTTTGTATAGGGTTGCTATGAGTTGGAGTCAACTCGATGACAATGAGTAGGGTGTTTCGAGTTTTGTCAATACCAGATACGAGCTTTGTAGAACCCAATATGATACAGAAAATGGTATGATCAGTAGGAAAAGCTCCCACTTAACATTATTAGTCTCTACTCCAGCCAGCCATCACTTCCCACTTGAAGCTCCAGGAAACAATATTTACCAAGAATTACAAGATTACTAACTCCTATTTCCCTAGGACGCCCATTCTTCACTTATCTACCTGGTTAGGCTCCAAAGAACAGGTTGTTACATTAAAATCTGTATTACTCGAAAATGGAGAATTATCACATCAGAACTACAAAATGGAAAATGACTACATCATTACATAAATGCCAGAATTCACCGTTACGTAACTGCCATATCACTGTGACTTGTGTCCAGCCAAGGGGACACATAAACTTAAGCATCACAGTCAGCAGTGCACTTGCCCTGCACTTCAGCATTCACTGCTTCCAGATGTGGTTATTTGGGTTACTGCACAAGCTAGACTGGATTGTTCACTATGTTAAATGTGACCTGTCAATAAGGAGGTAGTCCGAAGTGAGAAGTGGGTATGGATTCATCTCTTTCAAACACTATCAGAGGACATCAGACACATAGTAAGTAACCGGTTCTCGGGAAAGGGTCATGGAAACTTGTAGTTGCCGGATGAGGACAATGTTTCTTTTTACTGTTTCCCTTTTCTCCAATCCTCCTACCTGCATGTACTAATCCTGCAAGTTAGGGAGAAACCACTCACTAGGAGGAAGTTGCTTGCAGGCTCAGTCACTAGGAATGCATCTGGCTATGTTATTGTTACTGTGTTAAACAAGCAATAACCCAACTTAAAGGCTTCACTAGCCTCCAAAAGTATTCAATGGATATTATGGGGAAACGCATTGAGTAAGTCAGATATACTTTTGACAGGAAAAATTGAAAAGAGAAACTAAGCACTCTCCTTTATGATTCCCTAAGTGCATCACTAAAGCATTTCTCCTATTTTCAGTTAACCATTTTGGTTCCTCAATGTTAGTTTTAAATTCTGAGCTGTGAGATTCAAGATTAAACATTATTAAATTATAAATGTTTTAAAATATTTAAACATAAAAAAAAAATATTTAAACATATAAAACTCAGGAATGATGGACCTATAAGGACAGCAAGTAGAATCAGGGTTTGGGGAGCGTGTTACAGTGGGAGGGGGGAGTAAAAGACGATGTCAAGGAGTTCAGAAAGAAAAAGGATGTTTGGAAATTGAGTGTGGTAGCAATTGGATGATTCTGTTTGACATGACTGAACTATGGAATGACTTGACAGATGTATTAATTCC